ACGCTCAACTTCAACCCTACTAATGTAGGAACCTGATTAAGAAACCCTCTTTTACCACCAAAATAGTAGGATTCATATAAGGAACCCTAATAAAGGCCCAAGGTTTCTTCATCAGGTTCCTACATTACATACCAAAAAACACCAGCCTGGAGCTCTTGTGGCTCTGTTCCCAGGTCGTCCAAGGCTTGCTGCAACGACTGGCCTCGCGGTTTGGGGTTTTATGAGCTTAGATGGCTCTTTTTTTTTGAACCCTCTTTTCTCCCTGCCTGAGTCAGGTTGGTTGAATGCCACTGGTGGCTGAGGGGTGTTGAGGAACCAGCAGCGTTTAGGGTTTCAGGGCTCAGGGCCTAAGGACTCGGGCTTAGGGGTGCAGGCTTCAGGGTTCAGGCTTTAGGGCCTGTGGTCTTTCTCGGGTTTCCACGGTCATTTCGGGGACTGTGGGGCTGTTGGACTCAGGGTTTTCAGGGTGACTTCGTTTCCGGGGTTGGTAAGTTTGCGGCTGAAGAGTTCTTTTTCAAGGCTGCCGTGTGCTTAAGACGTTGCCACCATGGCGTTCAACCCATCCGCTGCATGTACTCGGAACTTGAGGTTTGTGTGCAGCTTACGAGGGTTGGAGGCAAGCTGTGGACCAGGCGCTCATCAAAAAGAGGTAGTGCAGCTTCAAGGTTACAGTGCTTCAAGCGGTCTTCGTATCCTTCGGGACGACTATGTGATGCACTGGGTTGTGAGGCGGTGTACACAGGATGCATGCTGACTGACTCAGCTAATTGCCGTCACTCTCAGGGACTCAGGGACTCTAGGCCGGCCGGCCATGGTCCATAGTCTGGGCTTAGTTACCTGCGAGTCACACAGTGGTTGCCCACACATCTACCAAGGTGTTGAAGATAAAAAGCATTCGATTTCCGCGGATGGATTTAAGATGACTGAAGAGACAGGGCTTCTAAGCCAACAGCCGCATCCCTACGGTCTAGATGGCCGTGCACTTGCGAACAAGATCCTAAAACCCTGAAGCCGAAACCCCTGAACCACTAAACCCCTAAAGGGCGCCCTTCGAGTTTTCTCTGCACTGGGACCCACACTTCGCTCGAACCGCGCCTTTCCGCAGAGAAGGCTTGGATGCAGGCTTCGGGGCTTCAGGGTTTAGGACTGCTTTGTTTTTGTGCTTTTCCGCTTTGTGCGCGACCTCTTTCCTTACTCTCGATTGGTTTAGGGTTTAGGGTTTAGTGTCTACATGTTTCAATGGGTTTTCCAGCAGTCAGAGGGTGCTTGTGGATCGTGGCGCTGATGGCTTTGGAAAAAGGTTTCTTGTTGCTTGTCTGGGTTTATTGGTGTGCAGGTTCTGAGTGACGTAGACAATGGGGTGCTTGGCATGTCAAGGGAAGAACGTTCAATGGCCAGCGTTTATTAGTTAAGGAGCTGGCTCAAAAGAAATTCCCCAACCCTAAGCTCCTAACAGGTGACGTGACAAGGCCAGTGTGAAAAATTACTGGCTATGCTTGAGTCTGTGGCCGCGGGTCATGCCTGTGAACCCTCTGATGCGCACTGTTTGCTTCTACACATAATGCCGATGCAAAAGACGAGCACTGTCACGGAGCTGTGTGTGTGTGTGTGTGTGTGTGTGTGTGTGTGTGTGTGTGTGTGTGTGTGTGTGTGTGTGTGTGTGTGTGTGTGTGGGTGTGGGGGTGTGGTGTGGGTGTGGTGTGGTGTGTGTGTGTGGTGTGTGTGGTGTGGTGTGGTGTGTGTGTGGGTGTGGTGTGGGTGTGGGTGTGGGTGTGGTGTGGGTGTGGGTGTGGGTGTGGGTGTGGGTGTGGGTGTGGGTGTGGGTGTGGGTGTGGGTGTGGGGGTGTGGGTGTGGGTGTGGGGGTGTGGGTGTGGGGTGTGTGGTGTGTGGGTGTGGGTGTGTGTGTGGTGTGCGTGTGGTGTGCGTGTGGTGTGGTGTGCGTGTGCGTGTGCGTGTGCGGGTGCGTGTGCGTGTGCGTGTGCGTGTGCGTGTGCGTGTGCGTGTGCGTGTGCGTGTGCGTGTGCGTGTGCGTGTGCGTGTGCGTGTGCGTGTGCGTGTGCGTGTGCGTGTGCGTGTGCGTGTGCGTGTGCGTGTGCGTGTGCGTTGTGCGTGTGCGTGTGCGTGTGCGTGTGCGTGTGCGTGTGCGTGTGCGTGTGCGTGTGCGTGTGCGTGTGCGTGTGCGTGTGCGTGTGCGTGTGCGTGTGCGTGTGCGTGTGCGTGTGCGTGTGCGTGTGCGTGTGCGTGTGCGTGTGCGTGTGCGTGTTGTGGTGTGCGTGTGCGGTGTGTGGTGTGGTGTGTGTGTGTGTGTGTGTGTGTGTGTGTGTGTGTGTGTGTGTGTGTGTGTGTGGTGTGTGTGTGTGTGTGTGTGTGTGTGTGTGTGTGTGTGTGTGTGTGTGTGTGTGTGTGTGTGTGTGTGTGTGTGTGTGTGTGTGTGTGTGTGTGTGTGTGTGTGTGTGTGTGTGTGTGTGTGTGTGTGTGTGTGTGTGTGTGTGTGTGTGTGTGTGTGTGTGTGTGTGTGTGTGTGTGTGTGTGTGTGTGTGTGTGTGTGTGTGTGTGTGTGTGTGTGTGTGTGTGTGTGTGTGTGTGTGTGTGTGTGTGTGTGTGTGTGTGTGTGTGTGTGTGTGTGTGTGTGTGTGTGTGTGTGTGTGTGTGTAGGTATCCCGGTGTGCTTCTTGTAGTAGCAGGAGCCGCAGCAGCAGCAGAAGCAGCAGAGGCAGCAGAGGGAGCGGAGGTAGCAGAGGTAGCAAAGGTAGTAGAGGTAGCAGAGGTAGTAGATGTAGCACTTGTAGCAGCACTAGCAGCAGCAGTAGCAGCAGCAGTAGCAGCAGCAGTAGCAGCAGCAGCACCAGTAGCAGCTAGCAGTAGTAGTAGTCGTCCTCTGATTTTTGGCACATGTGGGATCAGGAGACAAGATGTAGCAGTGTATGGAACGGATCAGGTTGCGGGTTTCATGGGTAATGTTCGATGGTTTAGAGTTTGAAAGCAGCGTGCGTGCCTCGTAATCCGACCTAAGCTGCTTGACCAGGACCTTCTGCAGAAGCACCCGGTCCTACAGAGATGCCATCAAAAGAATAGGTTGAGCAAGACAACTGCTTAAGTGTTTGGTCGACAGACAGACCGACTCTGCCTCGCCAATAGCCAAAACTCGAAGGGAAAGCTGAGGATGCTGATGACAGTGACTACGACCTTCAGAACACGACGACGAATACTCGATGACAACGACGCTGCCGATGGAAATGGCCATCGGGCGCGAGAGGGGCAGAACCTTACAGACAATTCAAGCAACTGCGAAATCGAGAAGATGGATTCTGCCATCGAATCGAATGAGAAGTTGGGGTCACGGAGATTTGATGCGTGGGAAAACAGTAACACTTGGTCGAAGCATGTGGACACCTGTGTACATAGAGGGATAATAATAATTGCCCAGTTCGACCCAAACCAAGACCCTGAAGGGACCCCGGCCCTGAAGTCAAGCGGCTGCGCCGGCAGCGTAGGCACAAACTACTTGAGGCCACCAGGCATCCAGGGCGCCTCTTGGAAAACGACGATTATCGCAGCCACAACGACACAACGACAATCCCCAGCCAAAACCACAGACAAAACACGACGTTGACAACCCGGAATACCTCCACAAACGTCCATAGCCGTCAACAACCAGCAACCTGCCACCCTCTAAACGCAAAACATGCGTCCTCCAACTCCTCCAGAGAAAGCTCCTGCCTGAAAGACACGGACGCAAACTCTTGTTGCCATATTTGTGTTGTTGCCTTTTTGTGTTGCCAGTACATATGGTTGTTACCGCCTTTTTCTTGGAAGGATGGTTGCCTTTCCGGGCCTTATCAATTAGAATAGGGTTTTGGGCCCATTATACTATAGTTATAGTTATAGTTATAATAGGCAACCCCCAAAATGGTATAGGTAATCATTTAGGCCCCCATGCTAAGGGCCTGGGCCAGAAAAAAGGCGATCTCTTCGGGAGCCTGGCACCGGCTCCGAGGCCACCCTTGGCGGCCTACAACCCCCAAGGCGCACCTCGATTTTGCGGAGAAAACTCGAAGCACTCGACCCCGAAGTTATAAAAAATTCTCGGCCCCCGAAGGAGCTGTGCTTTCGAGGCACTCTGCCGCAGGCGCCGGTGCTTCCGGCGCCTCGAGAACAACGAGAGAAACAACCTTGCTCCAGAATTAAAGGTTTTGGCATGTCTTATCCAGCTGCTTGAGCGTGGCTACAGGCTTCGAGAGTTCGTATCTGGCATTCAGGGTTTAGGGTTGCTACGACTAACTCGGAACTCGAATGCTTGGATCGCAATATGGGGCATCAAGCGCCGTGATGCGAAAGACTGCCACGACATGACTGACGATGGTTCACGTCTTTCGATATAGTCGTGTAAACTGGTGCAATGAAGGCATGCAGTATGCAAATGGGTGATATGACATGAAGCGAGCTGATGTGACACTTGCGTTACAATACAGTACAGTTCTGCACATAATACTGTAGATGCATGCCGCATTGCCTCGTCAGTCATATGGTACACGGGTGGTAATTCGAAGGCCTTTCCAGCACTTCAAATCCAGATCCGACGGAGCTTGAACAAGGACGTCTCGCACCTCCTCTCGCAGAGGACCCATAGCTGCATTCAGCCCGGCAAGGATCTGGCCGAAGGATGCGGTCATTACTGGTTACTGCAGACCGCCAGGGTACAGGAGACATGCGCATGCTACCTTCACGATCCCCCGGTTTCCCTTTTTCGGTGCCTTCGCCTAACCTGCCGATTCTTGGTTCGAAAGCCACTTCTTCCTCCTACGCCAAGGCCTAGCCGGCCCCTGAAACTGAACTCGAGCAACGCTCCCACAATGATCATGTGCCATTCCACCAAACTTCAGGTGCGAGTGTGCGAAGTTCAGGTCAGAGTAATCAGATGAGGCAGACTGTGCAAAGGCTTCGAGCGTGACGTAAACATGGTTCTGCTGTACGGATGCTGCCTGAAGCCTCGAAATCGCTAATGTCTCATAGCCTGCACCCGAAACCCTGCATGAACTCCAACCCAGAACGGCCGGCCCGAGACCCCGAACCTACAAAAAGACAGTTGATGCCTCAGCCACACCGCCAGGCGCAGGTCTACCATCCTCGTCGCTCACCACATTCACAAAAATCCGGTGGGCTCTGTCTATTTAAATTGTTTAAACTATTTAAATAAGGGTGGAAGCCCTTTAAATCAGTGGAATTTACACTATGCAGACTATTTCTTTTCCGAAATAATTTGAGTAATTCAAGTAATTATATAATTTAAAGAATATAGAATCCTTTTATTCAAAACACTCTAAACTATTCAATTTATTCAAATTAGTCTTAATTACATGAAATAAATGTGTGTGTCAAATAGACCCTAAGGGAGCCTCTCTCGTGTATGTGTGTATATATATATGTATATATATATATATATATATATGTATATATATATATATATATATATATGTATATATATATACACATACACATATGTATACATATATATATACACATACACATATGTATACATATATATATATATATATATACATACATACATACATAAAATTGTCCGTCCTCCCGTCCCGGGCCTTCTCCTCCAGCGCCAGCGGCGCGCTGTCGATGGGAAGCTCCACTTCCTGCGCAAGGTGCGCTAGAAAACAAGATCGTTTCGCCCCGAAGCCCCAGGGTTTTATTTTAAGTGCACTAACCCCAGGGTTTGGGGCCTAGGGTGTAGGGTTCCGACAAAAGCCACCAAAAAGGAAAAAGGGCGCCTCCAAGGATCCAATCGACTTTTGGAGGCCACCAACGGCGGACATCATCGCTGCCAGAGCTGAGGCCACCTGGTGCTCAACGGCTCGCTTTAGGGAATTAAGGATCTAAGGTGTGGGGGTTTGGGGCTTAGCGTTTACGGTTTAGGGCTTGCCGTTTAGAGTTTAGGCTTTAGGGTTGGTGTTTAGGGTTTCTCTTTTGAAGTGCGCTGGCCTTTAGGGTTCTTATCTGGGTGTTTTGGATGGTTCTTGTAGGATTCTGCTGGGTTGTACAGGGTTGCTATGGGCGCTTATAGGGCTGCAATACGGTTTTTGGATTCTCAAGAGTCTCTAGTGGGGTTGCTCTTCCCTTGGTTAAGAATTATTAGGGCTTCGGTTTAAGGTTCTTTTCTCTGTTGTTCATAAGGCTTGTGGGGTAAGTCGCCGTCGTCCTCGTCCTCGTCGTCCTCGTCGTGATCGTGCTACTGCTACTGCCACTGGTACTGCTACTACTACTTCTTCTACTCCTGCTGCTGCTGCGACGACGACGACTCCGACTCCTCTTCCTCATCCTCCGCCTCCTGCTCTGCCCAACTACTCATGTCTGCAGCACTGTGTCCTGAATCCAATGCTCTACACGCTATACCAGAACAACCGCACGGAAAGAAGGAGGCTCTTCGCTGAATGCAAAGGCCTCGCCCGCACCGTCGAGCTGCAAGGCATCCGAGCCGGAGACCTCTGTGGGAGGAAGCGGTTAGGGCAAGGTTTAAGGAAGTATTGGTCTTTCGCGTGTGAAGCATACTCACAGCGGTCTGCCTGAATTGCAAGACTACGTGATGCACGCAAGACCCCCCCCCCAGGCACGGCAAGCCGAAACTTCGCACTTTGTAAGCTTTAACAAGTGGCTGCAGCTGATGGATCATAGGAGCCCGAAAAGGGGTGGGGTTTAGAGTTGTGGAGCAGATGATACACCGCATCCCAGAGCCTTGCAGCAAACCTCACTACTCAGCGTGTCTTCTTACAGAAACTTCCAATCTCAAACTTGTAGACCTCCCCCTCAACATGGCTGCTTCAAGACTGCGAGTGAGCACAGTCTGAAGCCTGATGAACTCTCAGCACCAAACCCACGAACACAACACAAGCCTCAACGGGCCCATTCATCCGGAGGATCTGATACCCTAGTGGAAGAATCTACTGACGTGATTCCCCTCCCCCGGCCCAAAGACGGCAGTGTCCTGAGTTGAGCAGTACTGAAACTGGTGCAGGGTTTCTTGCTAAATCATCCCTAGTGAAGGGTCAAATGGCATTCGCTGCAACTACTTTATTCCGTGAATGTGGAGAAGTGTCCGTACAAATCATGCTGGCATAGGCAGGTCGCACAACGACTGCAAAACTGCTGCATGAAGTCCGGCGCAAAGTACAATACCCACCAAAAACTTGTGAAGGCAATTTTCCGAATGCAGGCGTAGGGGAAGTTTCCGCGACACTACTGTCCGAGCAAGTTACTTGACAATCCTACAGCGTTAAGCATCAGAATTCCCTAAACCCCAGACCCTTGCAAACCCTAAACCCTTAAACCGCCTTTACTGCTTTGCACCCGGAGGCCCTGCCCTGTTAATCCCCAAGTACTCCGCTCCGCGCCTCTTCCCGGAAGCCACCGTCACCTTTGGACGCTGCCGGGGAATCCTCAAGCTTGGGTTTCAGAGCGACAGCATGTGCTTTCCTAGAGGCTTCGTGGTAAGGATGCACCAAGGGAGCCAACTTGCACTGATGAGTGGGTAGAAACAACCGATGATACCAGTAACAGCGACATGTGCACAAGCCTAATGACTACGGTAACAGTGATAGGAAGAACAATATGAATATAATGAGAGTTAGATCAGCTGCAGCCACTCCGGGGCCTTGTCTTCTGGCACGTCTTCCGCGCGCACATTCGCAGAAGCCTGGATCTACGATGCCGAACATCCAGGCGTACTGCTTTCCGATCAGACCGCGGGATTCGGGGTCTCTAATCTTCAACTTTCCTGTTGTGCTACCCCATGTGCGAGAACATGCCGAACTGCGGGGATCCAGGAAATGACACTTTGCTCGAGAAGAAAGCAATGCATGCAGGAAGACGAAGGCCGGTCCTCGTTATTTAAGATCCCGAAAAGATTGAAAGGAGCCCCAACTGTACTCTGCGAAACCCATCTGCACGCAGCTCATCTCAGCGCTGCGCGTCGTTGGCATCTCTCGGGCTGCTGGGGGCCGTCTCGACCGCCTCTAGTGCCAGATCCACCAGCACTGAAGCTGACAGCTAACAGCGACAGCAAAGCGCATAGCAGGAAATATGGGTCGCAAGGACATTATGGGCCATGTTCAGGATCCAGGACGACGAAAGACAGAAGATGACAAGGGCAGCGGCGCTGTGACCCTGGCAGACAACCATAACTGACAACGACAATTATAAGCAATGCGGAGATTCATGCCCTCGCAGCGGGCTCTTACTCTGCATACACAGACTGCTGCAACCATCGCTCAGTGCTCAGTCTCAAGTCTTAAGTCTCAGGCATAGTGCAGGCACGAAGACCGCCAACCCTTTTCCAAAGGCACACTATGGCACACTGCTGAGCGGTGCTGAAGAACACAATACCAGTAAATATTCATACAGTGACTACGAAACTTTCATCGGCCTGCAGGACCTACGAACCTCCGAGCTTGTGCAACAGCACGCACCTGCTCAGCCTCGTCATCTTTGGACGTGGCCGATGCAGCCTAGCGGTTGCGGAAGCACAGCTCTCGCAAAAACCTCCCAACGAAACTGCAACGGCTACAGCTACGGAGTCTGGAACCCTCATAGCAGTCATGCCCAGAAAGGATCCCAAAAGACTGGCAACTCGAGAACAAGCTCGGGTCCGAAGCCACGGTATGGGCTTTGTGCTTTGGCTCCTAGGGCCTCAGGGTGGGAATGGAGCCGGGGCGTGCAACAGAAAGAGAAGAAGAAGCAGAAGATGCAGAAGAATAAGCGAAAGCAAAAGAAGAAGAACAGGAAAACGACGGAGCAGTGCGTTACTAACAAAAAACTAGACATATTTACGCCAGCAACCCGTCCGCAAATGTCAGCCCAGGAGAAGACTGTTAGAACGAGCTTCAGATGCCATTCTCTGGAGTTGAGGACATGCCTTTCCAGGGTTCTCAAGTTCTAGGATTCTAGCATTCATCGTCGCATTTATTGAAACTTATGGAGGCAAGTACTAACGTTCCGGAGTGGCCCTTGAGGTTGTACACCGAAAGCCACCCAATGGACGGCGACTGGCTTCGCCGGCCTCCACTTCAGCTGCGGCGGCCTCTCCAATGTGCTTGCGCAGTTTGAGCGGTGCTAGACATGCGTGCTCTAGGCTCTGGCGTTCGAAGGGGACTATGGAGACAACAACTCCTGATTGATGGTACACAGTTGTGCTTGCCCACAAGCATGCCGACATGGAAGAGCTGCTAGAACACATTCACGGATGCAACCAATTGCATCGTGGAGTAACTTGACGTGCAACGACCTGCCATGACGACTCGAGATCCAACATGTACGTGCGACGGTGGCAGAAGCACGGTTTGGACGGCAAAATACACACAGTACTGTGGACAGCAGGAATCGGACCCAAGCGTGGCAGTGGTACCTTACTCGGAAGGCAGGAAAACAACTCAGAAACAGTTGGAACTTAGCCAGATCGTCTAGCGGGATACCTGTGGCAGAATCTCTCGTCTTAGAGTTCTACAGCCCTGGTCGGTGAGGTTCAGATTAGGACCCTTGTGGAATCCGTACTGCACTAAACGCATCTCTATGGAATCCCGGACAAGTCATTGCACACCTCTGAGAACACAACAGTCTACAACTCTGAAAGCTCTCAGTGGCGGGGGCCTCGGCTGAGTCTGGGGCAAGGTCGGAAATGTCTGCGACCTCTCCCAAAGAGCTTCTTGCAGCATAAACCCGAACCCCGAACCCTAAATCCTACACCTTTCTCTATAAACCACTAAGCCCGCAAAGCCTTAACCCGTGGCGGACCGCGTCGGGCCGGGGGATACAGGCTCAACTCCTCCTCGTTGTGATTTCGGAGTTCAGGCCTTCGTTCACTGAGACCACACGTACGTGGCCTCAGATTCTACAAAAGAACCTGAGGCCACAGAATCTGCACCCTCAGGGACCCTTTGCAGCCCTCTTCCCCTGAACCGGCAGCCCCGGGCACCGATTTTCGAAGCAACTCCGGACGGCTTGGCCCGCGCTATGTGCCAAGGAGTCGCCCTTCGGAGCGGTGGAAGGAAATCCGACAGGACCGCTCCATGGGGCTGTGCGTAGCTACGCTTTCGAAATCGATATTTTGTGTTGAAATTAGAGTGCAATGTATACGTATTTATGTTGAGAATCTCAGATATTCATACTCACAAGTCTTTCCGGTTTGGAGTTTTGCCTGTTCAGCCACATCCATGTCCTGAGCTATTACGTAATTACACGGGGAGAGTTGACGAGTTGCCCTACTGAACCATCATGCATTGATTCCCATACCACAAACCTTTCGTCGTCAGGGGATCCAGGTCGATAACCTACTGTCTGCAGGTTGGCGAAACAACGAAACTGCAAATCCAGGCCGACCCCATGTCAACGTGACAATGTGGCTTATTAGTACACGTTTGTCCGGGCTTCCTTGGCAGCGGCTGGGTGTCTTCTTGAAAAGCACGCATCGCCGGCTACTAGAGCGGGCCTTCTGTCCACGGATTTCTCTGAGGAGGCAGGGCCTCCCCTCACTACTGCGCGATGGCAAGCAAGTGCTCAACAACTTTTTGTACATTGCCTCGGGATCGCTGAGTCCCTGAACCTTTAATCTGTTGCGGGCAAGTTTTGGAGTGTAGCTTGGGCCTGGAGGAGGACTGGGAGTCAGGGCTTAGGGCTTAGGGCTTAGGGCTTAGGTCCAAGATTTGGGGTTTGAGCTGATGCGGGCGTGTACCCCTGTTGCACCCTTATGAAAACCGTCTACAAACCAAGGCGATCCTAAAAAGCAATATGAACCACCAATACAGTAATATCGCAAAAACCATCAACCCCAAGCGCTAAGCCCTAAACCCGAAAAACCCTAAACTCACAAACTCAAAGCTGACTTTGGTACCGTTGCCGAGCCACCCTCGAAGCGTTTCAACAACTCCTCGAGGTCTTCGTTCTGAGCCGTCGCAGCAGTAGTAGTACTAGTAGTAGTAGTAGTAGTAGTAGTAGTAGTAGTAGTAGTAGTAGTAGTAGCAGCAGCAGTACTATATCAGCTTAGAACATACGGTTTCGAGTTCAGGAGCGTAGTTTGAAGGTTTAAAGTTTACAACCGGCTCTATGAGATCAGGGTCTTCAAGGTTGTCGGGTGCTGTTCAGTTTAGGTCAAAGAGCTACCGACAGTTGTTTAAGGGTCCGCTAAAGTTTAACACGGTTGCCAGTTAGTTCTTTCGCGTTTGCCCTAAAGCCTTTGCAGGGCGACCTAAACATATATTGGAATGTACCGTTGCTTTGGCTCTGTGCAGGAACTATCGATGTGTGATGGACACCTTCAGAGGAACCCTGTCTAGCAAACAAAATCCCAACAACCGACCGTCGAATGGAGATGCCTCTCGGAAAATGCATGACTGGGGCCTCATGACATCTGAGCGTGGCCAATCGTTTAGTGCCATGGGGGTCTTGGAGCGAATGCTTTGAGGGGCTAGGATTGAGTGTCAAGCTGGTGTTGACCGAAAGACTTGCCTCAAGCAACCGTTCAACCCATGCTGAGTGCCTCTGGGCCCTACACCAGGAATCCTGCTTCCTAAACCAAAAACACAATGATGAACGACAACCGAGCTGTGAGCCTGCGAAATTTCGTTCGCATTTCATATTTTACCTTGAAACCTTATGTTATCAAGAATCGTGCGACAAAGACCGTACGAAGAAACGCAAGCAACATCTACAGACTATAAGCACATGACGCCTGATAAGAAACCCCTTAGGCTACTTCAAAATACTTCAAGCCCTCAGTCGCTCCGGGACAGTGTGGAACCTCAAAGAGCTACAGAGCCAGGCGTCGCCAAAGAAAGCTCCCAGACCCATCTCCCGCAGCTGCTGAATCTGCCGGGATTCGGGCACGCCGACGACGACGACGACTACTACTACTACTACTACCACTGCCACCACCACCACCACCACTACGACGACGACCACAACGACGTACCGACACTACTCACTGCTACTGCTGCTGCTCCTGCTCCTCCTTCTTGCTCCTGCGCCCGCTCCTACTCCCGCTCCTGCTCCCTCTGCTGCTCCTGCCCTGCTCCCGCTCGTGTTATTGTCACTGCTGCTGCTACTGCTGCTGCTACTACTACCACTACTCCTACTCCACTCCTCCTCCTACTCCTACTCCTACTCCTGCTCCTGCTCCCACTCCTACTCCTACTCCTACTCCTGCTGCTTTACTGCTACTACGACGACGACTACTACCACTGCTTTTATCTCGACTTCAAAGCTACTCCCCGCTCATCCTCCGCCACTATTAAAACTGGTATTACTATTCCTGCCACAGCTTGGGCGATGCTTCTGTCTCAAGGCTACGGTACAGTCTTGCACTAGCAGTATTCTGATGTCTGTTGATGCTGAGACTATGCCGCTGGCTGTTCAGGCTGTCTCGCAAAATACCAAGATGGCTGCTTCTGCTCTTGGTTCTGCCGCTTTCACTCCAGCTGCAACTCCGCCTTTCAAGAAACCCTAGAACCTAACCATCAAAGCCAGCCTGCTCTTGGAGAAGGGTCTTGGAGTCATCCACGGCCTTGAAGCTGCTTTTTCAATCCAGAGATCTCTCTTTGGGCACTTCAGCTTTCGCGCGCCATGTAGCCACCGGAGGAGTACAGTAGTAGACCCCTCTGAAAGGACCATGTGCTCCATATCCTTATAACCAGAGGTCTAGATCCTGCCCAGGAACGTCGAAACGACTTCAGGATCACAGAAGTATAAGCATGCTAATGGTTTCCCAGCTGCCACAACTAACATGGAATCCTGCTCAATTTCTCAATGTCCACGAGCCTCCACCTGACCACTCTTGATCGGATTCCCATGCTTTTAGTCTCGTAGGGTCTCAAGGGGAACATGAGGCTCCGCCATCAGTTGCCCTCATTCTGCAAGCATGACAGGCTTCCTACGAAGATGGCTTCTTTGCCAGCTACCCAAGGTGCTTCATCAAAGCTGGTGGCCTGACTCGTCTGGAGATCTGTCAACCCTGAACCGTCCCACAGCCCCAAAACCCTACAACCCTAAACCCTAAGCCCAACGGACCGTCATTGCCGGCTGTACGCGGTCGAACCCCAAACAACCGAACCAAACCCCAAACTGCAATCATGTCCAATCATCACCAAGCCTCAAACCTGAACCTTGAACCCCACCCCCCAAGCCCTGAATCACTGAAGCTCAAACCGTACTTCTCTGAGGCGCCATGGGCTCGGGTGCCGTTGAGACCGGCTCGGGAGCACGGTTGGAAACGACAGGGGCCACCTTTCCAGCTCTCGATCGATACGGGTCGGTTTAAGGTGTTGGGCTTTTGGGTTTGTGTAGGGTTTATATAGAGTCTAGAGTTTAGGATTGGGGGTTTAGGATTGAGGATGTGCGAGGGGCTTCAGGTTAGGTATTGTGAGGCTCCTAGGGGTAAGGCAGTCACCTAATCGATGGTACCGAAAGTCCTTGATCCCTCAACCCAGCTTAAGTGTGCCCCTATCAGTTCCGCACCTGCTCGACATGCTTCAGGAAGCTGATGATTGTGGGAATGTTGTCTGCTGGATATCCCTTCTCGGTCACGAAGTCACGCGCCACCTGCTGGGAGCAATGGGAGGTGAAAGAGAGCCTAGCCTTCAACGCGTACCTGTCATCTAAGTGTCCTCCTGACAACATTGCCGATCATCATGAAAAACAGAGGACAGCTCGACAGCACTGCAGATCCCTTCCCCAGCCTTCTCGTGGTCGTCACCCTTGCGCCAAGAGATCTCACTGCGACGCCCATCGTCCAGCTCCTTGCAGACGCCACAAGGTTCATGGGCTGAGACGGTTCTGATTGTTCAGGATCAAGACCCAACATCAAATACCAAGATGCTCACGAAACACTCTGGACTAGACTCTGGACCCTTAGGCCTCAAAGGCTAAACCTTCGACCAAGGCTCGACGGGAAAGACGTAAGCGGGTGCCGAGGCGGCCAGTTGGGGTCCTGCAGCCTGCACAAGATCTGCGTGCAGGATTCAACGCTGATGTATCAACCTTTGTAGCGCGGCTTTTGAGTTCGGAATTTGGAACCTAAGCATAAAGTTTCCAATTCTCGCGTATCACAGAAGGCAGGTGTTTGCGTCTACTGACTTCCTCCGACGCAGCAGCAGCAGCAGTACCCCTCCCACCCGTCTCCCCTTGAAACCCTCTTCCTAACTGAAGCGAAACACTTCGTAACTAAACCCTGAACCGTCGAAGTCGCAACAAAGACCTAAGAACACAAACCCCCGGCTGGCTGCCTCCGAAAGCTCCGGTGCTGGGGCGCTCGGTTCTGGCATCCCATGGGGTTGCGCCTCCGGCACCGGCTAAGGCTGCGGACTTCTGAAAAGGTTCTTCACAAGGGGCTCAGGATGTAAAGGCTCGCGAAGTTACGGTTGAAGGGTTTGCGGAGTATTCAAGGTTCCAGGGTGAACAGTAAGATTAGGATCTCGTGCTTCAAAAGCCCAGAGAAGGCCTGTATAAGAAGAAGGGCACGCTGCCAACTCCCGACACTCAGGTCTTCCAGCACTGACAAGCGGCAACTGGTAGTAGATGAAGAAGGTAGTAGATAAACAAATGAGCGATCAATAAAGAAATCAAGATCACGAGCAGTATCCGCTTCCTGTCACCACTCACGTGATTGCGTCAAGTTACTAGCACTATGAGTATTTGCT